CTCTGGGGGGGGGGGGAATCCCATACCTAGGGCTGGTATAGTCTGCAACCCCTCCCCATGACAGGAGAACCCTGTCCCCTGAGTGTCGGCTAGGGCAGCCAGGGAGTGAGGGGGACAGACCTGGGTGGCAGGCCACTTCCAAATGTCGGGCAAGTGGCTTAGTGTTGGAACCTGCAGCCTGTCAGGAATCCTAACACAGCTCATCCTACGTGGACGTCTGGACATTTAAACACTATGTCAACAAGTATTCTGCCCACTGCTATTCATTTCATAGCTACTTTTGTCGTTATTGTTTTCGAGGCTCTATGACGGATGTCCTTCTAGGGCTGGGCAAAGGGACCAGCAGAGCGGGGAGCTGCCCTAGGCTGCACAGTAGCCAGCCAGGCCTGGGAGGGGAGCCCTGAGGATACAGAGGGCCAACGGGGCAGGAGAGATGTCCACCCCTCAGCACATGACATGCTGTCTGTACTGGCGGGTCCCGTGCCCTCACCTCCACTTCAGCTCACTCCCACCTGGCTCTTGTCCCTTCCTCTCAACAGAGGCCCCCATGGCCCCCATCTCACCCTCACCTCATGTGACTGCTCAGCAGCCTCCACAGCGCAGCACGTCGTCCTGCTCTCCCTGCTCCCTCCAGGACCGTCCCTCCTCCCCAGGTGCTCTTAAATTGTCCCACTGATGTGGAGGCACCCCAGGCCCAGGCTGCTCCCTCCCAACACCCACGTGACATCTGCACTGGGGTGGCCAACCTTCACAGGACCCAAGCTTCTGATGTCCCCTGGGCCTCCCCTTGTTCTAGTAACCTTGGTAAAGGCCACTGACACCTGCACTGTGCTCTGCCCCCCTTACCCTACCTCCAACCTCAAAGCCTGGACCCCAGCTCTGCCCCCATCACCTCACATCACCCGCTGTTCCAGTTCTTCTGCCCCTGGGAGTCAGGCTGTGCCCCCTTTCTCTGGACATCACAGCCACCTTCCTCGCTGGCATCCCACTTGCCCCTCCAGCTCCCTCCGATCCATTCTCCATGCAGCTGGCATGCTGCCCACCACGTGAAAGATCAGGCTAGTTACCAGTTACCACTCCTCTACAGAACCTTGCGGACCTCCCTCACCTCCACCCCCAGGGCTGTGAGTCTGCTCCAAGGCAGAAAGTCGCATGAGTCCCCCGAGCGAGGGGTGGGAGTGGGGCCAACAAGCTGAGTTTGAGGACAAACCCCTGCCTTTCCATAGGGCCCAGGGATCCCATTTGAAGGAGTAAGAGGTTGTACAGTACAGAGTGACCCTGCACCTCAGGACTCCAGCAGAAGGGCCCCAAAGCTCCAGGAACCACCGCCTACCTGTGCCTACAGCCGGCTTTGTGTCCCAGGTGCACCCGGGCATCAAAGAGACTTCTCACGGAAAACAGCTCCTTGACGTTGAAGAAGTCGGAGTGCTTGAGGGGCTCGCTGAGGATCCTGTCCTGGAGATCTGGCGCGGAGGACAGGCTGCTGGGTCTCGGGGCCCCTGCTCTGCCCATGTCCCAGGGGAAGAGAGACGGCTGTGGGCAAGGGCAGTGAAGCCCCCGCAGAAGGTGCCCAGGGCCACAGGGTCCTTTTCAGGAAACTCGGTGCCAGAGGCTGGGTTCTGACCGTGGCTTTGCTCCTGAGCCCAGGTGGTTTCTGAGGTCCTTACGGTCCCTCCTGGGGCCAGCAGAGACTCCCCGGGGGGGAGCCAAGCCCTGCGTTAACCCTGCGGACCGCTGTCTCTGGCGCCACCTGGGCAGGGAGGTGCTGGTCTTGGCCCCATTCTCAGATGTGGGCGGCAGCTCAGGGGTGGGGGGATGACACTCAGTGCCCAGCGTCTAGCCCGTGGGGGCTGCTGGGGGACAGCCCGCCCCTTCTCCTCCCCTGAGCTCCTCCAGGGTTTCACAACTAAACCAAAGGGGGGGACCCGGGCCTCCTGACGACAGACGATTTCAACCCAAACTGGGAGGCCTGCCC